TCGCTTTACTTTCTTGATAACGGTTTGCATCTCTCTGAGTTCCCATTTTTGCCACAAGTAGGTAGCGGTCGCTGTTTATTTCCAACCCTCGCTTTACTTCAAAGTCATTTATTTTACCTCTGTTTTCTCTTCCCACTAGTATGTAATCTATAATTGACCGCTCGTTTCTGCTAGGCTGTTCTCTTGTTAACTTATGGACATTTTTATGCTTATAAAAGCCGTTCGCTATAATTAAATTATGCAATGTGCAAAAACGCAATAGTCTTTTTCCGTTGTTCTTTCTTGTGTCTCCTCCGTGTTTTCCAATTTGCGTTTTGGATACGTGGTCCCTTTTGCCAACTCTTCCATTAAAATCTCCTACCAAAAATATACATCCTTTAGCAGTTTCCACCGCTATATTTAAATCTTCCCAAAATTTATCTTTAGTCTCTGCTATCTCGTTTTCGTCTGGCCCATAGCAAGCAATTATTGTTTTTAATTGGCGTGTTGTTCTTTAGTTCTACGCTCAAAATTCTTTCTGATATTGCCTCCCATTTATTCAGTATGGTTTGGAAATCATTGTGCAAAATATCCCAGCCTGCGCCCGTTCTTTTTCGTTTACTCCACTCCACAGTAGTTGTTCCAATATCGTTGTTCCTTTTCTTTTTTTCTTTGTTTCTGATACCACTAGCAACTCCAAATTTGACTTCTCGAACTCATTTACCAGCTCTACCTATTTTCCCTTTATCCCTCTAACGGTCCATGTTCCCATTCTAGTTATTTTCTTTTTGTTGGTTTCTTGCTTGTTTTTACAAATCATTTCCATGTTAATTGCCGGGTCATATCTACTAAGTGTAGCAACTCTTTTTGTATTTGCTAGTTTTTTGAATATTCAAACTTTTCAGTTCTTTTGTTATACCTCAAATTCTTCACCAATTTATTATATCCTATTTTAACGATTTTTCCCTTCTGTCTTTCTTCGTGCCTTTTTGAGGTTAACCTCTTGTTTTAGATACTGTTTCAGAAAGTTTCCCACAGTTTGTTCAAGTAAATTTGGATCTCTGGTATCAATTGGTAATCCAATCACAACAATATTATTCTCTCTTTTTGCCTTTTCCAGTCTTTCAAGCGTATTTTTGATTTCTCTTCGCTTCATATATTCATTTTGAATTCTTTTTTGTTCCAGTTTTAAGCTACTGTTCTCTTCTCTCAGTTTTTTCACTTCCTCTCTGTATTCTTGTTGGTCTCTTCTTATCCGCTTTACTTCCTGTTTTATATCTCTTATCTGCTGCATTTTGCCTTTAATTCCTCTCAATCCTCGCAGAAGCAAATCCCATTTGTCTTTGTTGGTTTCGGGAGTCTTGCTCGGGGTTCTATTGGTTTTTTTACTCCTCTCAAAGATATTAGGTTCATCTCTTTTTCTTCTCCCGTCATCCATTGTATTACCGTCGCTGTTCATATTTACTCAGTAATTATTATTTTTATATGTTTTACAAAATTAAACAAACACACCCTCGCCAATTCAGCAACAAACTCGTCCACTGTGTACGGTGAGAGATCCAGGATGATTTTTTTTACTTCTGGTGGGCTCGCTCCCAATCAGCAGAGCCCCCTCAAAATAGAAGTCCATTATGATATTCGTGACTGAAAGAGACCAATGTAGGCAGTTTGAGAAACATTGAGGGGTGTAATATCTTTTACTCCGCGAAGGAGATATAGTATTGAGGTTAATTTGTTTGTAACCTCACTTATGTGATTCTTCTAGGACAACCGGTTGTCTAGATATACACCCAGAAATATCACGGCCGTACTCCGTTTTATTGAGATTAAGGCTTAGATTGTTATCTATGAACCTCTCAGGAAGTTTTTATTAAGTTATGTCTAAATTTTATTTAATTAACTATTGAGCAAGGCGGTCTCGTCCGCATATTGGACTGTTTTCATATTTGGAAAGGAGGCTGGAAGTTCGTTTACATATAAAATAAACAATAACGGGCCTAAAATAGATCCCTGTGGCTATCAAGGCTGATGATAGACTTTTTTTATGATCAAAAACCTGTGAACGATTCGAGAAATAGGCTTGTATTAGGTGGAGCAAATCGCTGCTCAAGCTTGGCAGTTTATCAAGCCATATCTGATGCGACACACAATGCCTTTGAGATGTCACAGAATACTGCCGAAACAGACTGCCCCCCTCGAGGCACCCGACAATATGTCCCACTAATTCATGTATTGCATCTTTTGTTGATTTTTTTTTATTCCTAAATCCAAATTGGGATTTTGAGAGAAGATTACAAATTTCCAAGAATGAGGCTACTCTATTATTATAAATATATATATATATATATATATATATATATATATATATATATATATATATATATATATATATATATATATATATATATATATATATATATATATATATATATATATATATATATTTATAATAATAGAGTAGCCTCATTCTTGGAAATTTGTAATCTTCTCTCAAAATCCCATTATTATATATATATATATATATATATATATATATATATATATATATATATATATATATATATATATATATAAATAGGTTTAGATAGAGAGAGCACTATGGAGATTGGCCTATAATTGGTTGGATCACTATCCTCTCCGTTCTTAAGCACTGGTACTACTCTGCTGACTTAGTTTCTTCGGGAAAGTACCCAACTATCACCTGCACCTATCTGCTTCAAAATTTTATTACTAAGACCAAACACATCTTTGGCAGTACTGTTACTTAAATCATTAATAATTTTACTCACTTCTTCTGTACTTACTGGACTCAGCAACATTGAGATATCATTATATATATATATATATATATATATATATATATATATATATATATATATATATATATATATATATATATATATATATATATATATATATTTAGTTGATCTAATTAACCAAAACTGACTAAAAGTATCGCTTCCCTCTACCTCTCCGAATAAGCGAGACGCCCCCGGCAACAAACGAAAGCTGGGCCATGAATACAAGCAGCAGCAACAAACTAAAACATGTTCTAAGAAAATCCTTTTAGTTGACAATAAAATTTATTGTGAAATGTAAAAAACTAACTTCACCCATGCACAATGAACTTATTTGAGTTTATTTGGCAAAAAATTGATCAAAATCTATATTTCAAGACTTTTCTAAAAACTAGCAAAATATCGAAAAAATTAGCTGAAAAATGTGAATTTCTCGATTTCACCAAAAAATTGCATATTTAACCATCAGATTTCCATTTTTCTATTTCCATGTGCATATATTATAGTGCTTGTTGCTTGGTTCAAAAAAGTTCAAAATTCTAATTTGTTATTTTACTAAATAGGTCATGTTTCATAGGGGTAAATTATCATATAATCAAAAATAGGTCGTTTCGTGGGCTTATTAGAGCACTTTAAACATGTATGTTAATACCGTTTTCCTAAGTATACGGAAGCATTTAATATCAATTTATTATCCGACTGTATCGACTTAACAACTGGATTGGAATAACTAAACAAAAAATAATAGTTTTCGGTTTCCCTACGTGGACATTCCGTTTTTCCAATAACAATAACCGAAGATTGTCATTTCCTTTTCGCATTGACTTTGGATTGAGTACGCTTCATCTATATTCGCGAGGAAAACTTATGGGAGCTTTGAGAAACATCCGTCTGTGTGATTTTAACGAGAATTATTGATGAAATCTAATTTAGTGTTAAAAATTGCTATTAACAGAATTTTTAAAAGTGAGAAACATAATATATCGTCCGAAACACCGGAAAATATTAAAACGAATTAATCGGGGATATAAGTAGATACGACAAACGAGAGACAAATTAAATACATTCCACCCCTGTTTTGAAGCCAGTGACCATATCTTAATAGTCCCTCCCGTACACTGTATCGTGATTTGCTCCCGTGTTATTTCCGACGTTTTCCAATTTAAGCATTTAATACGCTTTCCATTCAGACGTTTTGATTGGTTAAATGCAAACAGTTCCGATTACAAATTTTCGACACCGTTGTTTTCGCCGAAAATCGACTTTCTGCATTTTTTTGAACGTATTCGCGGTATTTGCGAGCTTTAATAGTCCTGACGCGGTCGGTACGAACATGCGTTTGCCTTTTTGCGATTTCACTTGCAACTACTTCAAAAAATGTCGATATCGATCTCGCCTATTCCAAAAATTTGGCAACAATGTCATGTCCAACTAGGGATGTTCCCATACCATTAAAGTATCGATACCTACTCATTTCAATAGTACTCAAATCTTTTTTCGATACTACTCAAATATATACTCCTAAAGTATCGATACTTACTCGACGACACTTATTCATTATTTTTTTTATTTATTTTAAGGAAACTAACAGCGAACGTTGAAGGACAATAATTAAAACAACCCTAAAAAGGAAAAAAAACTTTTATTATAACGGTTTGCGTCACGTTAAGCACGTACTTTAAACAAAAAACTCCATGATAACATTGGAATAATAAGCCGATGATTAGAATAAATAAAATTATTCCTAAGCAATCTCTTGTATGTTTGACAATTTATGTATGTTGGCAATGAAAAAAAATGAAGGGCGGACATCTTTCTCGCTTTTGGCTCGGGCTCAGTCGAGTGAAATCGAACGAGTTCGGCTCGGCTGGCGCGAGACAACGCGTCACCATAGATCAGATAGAGATGTTTGTCTGATACGTTCGGTTTTTTTTTTAATGGTGAAGCTGATTCGATTTGATGCCAAGTACTTTTGTTTCGATACCGAGTAAGTATCGCAAAATTGATTCGATGCTATGAATACTTGGTATCGAATCAAAAGTATCGAGTACCTACTCGTATTTACTAGTATCGGAATATCCCTATGTCCAACGGTCCACTATAAATCTGAGATTAAGATGGAACATACGTCGTAATAAAAATAAGAGAAAACAACATATTTACTTAAGTTCAATTTAAAATTTTCAAGTTGGCAGCATGAAAACGTTTTTATTTTCTTTTCAGAATTGAACGTCTCATGATGCCTTGCTGGATACATTCATTGCAAAAGTTACCAACAAATCGAGGTAAGTATTCGACAGTAACAACACTTCCTACGTCCGCCGTATTTTATATTTTGATGTTAAGCGTTAAGCCCCTCTTTGTTCATTATTTACCCGGGCTTCTAAAGGAACTTTCCGCATGTTTCGTAAACATTTCCAAATAACTTCCCAGCTATAAATTTTACAAAATTTATTTCCCTGAGGCGTACATCAAAAAGAGAAAAAATGGAAGTAAATATAAAGCTCTTCCATTAACACCGTACCTTAACTCACAATTTTGAATAAGGGTCTGCAATTCACACACGCACGGTACAATCAACCTTCTAAGGGTTGACAGCTCCGGCCAAAACCTTTCGTAGCGCTACACGTGACCACTGATATAAGAGAAAAAAAATCAAAAAATGATTGGTTTGTCCAACTAACCAAAAATCGGCAAATGCAGAAATAGAAATAAAAAACAAACAATGCAAATGCAAACAAATTTTCCAACTCGGCCAATTATTAGCGGGTTTTAAATATCCCGTGAGGTCACCTTTCTACTCTATTAATGTTTGATTGAGTACTATGATTAATAATATAGATGTCTGTCTAAAAATAAATACGACGATACAATATGCTAATGATTTATCATTTTGTCGTTGTCTATATGGGATGTCTCAACTTCCGGATAATAATCTCATAAATACATTAAAGCCCACCCTTTTTGTTATATTACTTACACAAGTTTAACAGGGAAGTAAAAGCGGATGAAATCCTAGTACTAGTCATGAAAATGATCTGGTATACCGACGGCTGAAAAATTCAAATCCAAATAATACTTGGTTTATTGTTGACTAAAGTTGTTGAATGAAGATTCTGCCAACAAAAAAAGAAAACAGCGCATCAAGTATCCAAACCAGAAGCAAGGAGGTACACCAAGAAGTCGCTATCGACACTGTGCAGTGTAATTAGAGTGACGAACCTAGATAAACTAATGACTGTGTCGCAATAGATCCTTTGGGCCGCAGTTACTGACACACTAAAAGCTAACTCTACCAAACTGTAATCTTTAACTGGTATACCTATGAATCAAACATTAAAAACACATTTAGGCCAAAAAAAATACATAATTCCACCAAGAATGGGCTATTCTCCTTAGACTAGTACACTGCCGCTTTTTAGTCACTGCAGTAGAGGATGTCATGTGAGCGCTAGCTGATAAATATAAGCTCTAGATATGGAATTTAATTAATACTTCAGGCGGATTATATGATCGATAGTAGATTATCTTAGAGAAGAACACTGAATATCGTGCTTTGCACCACCATATCTAAGATCTTCATCTTGTCTTCACTAGAACAAGCCTACACAACGGTGAAATTAAATATCCGGTAAAGTTGAAAATACAGGGTAGCTCCTCTTAAACGATATAGACGGACCGTTAGGTAATCTATAGTGACATCTGCTTACGGCAATGAGATGTCAATCCTAATCAACTTTAGATGTGGAATTGAAATAATACGTCAGGCGGATAATGTGATCGATGGTAGATCCGCTTAGAGCAGAACACTGAAGATGGTACTATTCACCACCATCTCTCAGATCTTCAGCTTGTCAGCACTAGCTGATAGAAAAACCCTATTGCAATGTAGAATTAAATCCAGTAAAACTGAAAATAGAGAGTCGCACTTCGTAAATTATATAAACAGTCCATTAGGTGATCTTTACTAACAGATCTGCTCAGAGCAGGAGATGTCAATCCTAATCAGTTCTAGATATGGAATTTAATTAATACGTCGGGCGAATAATTTAATCGATGGTAGATCCGCTGAGAGCGAACCGCTGAAGATAGTATTATTCACCACAATCTCTCAGATCTCTTCACTAGTGATAGAACAAGCCTACAGAAAGGTAGAATTAAATCCGTAAAGCTGAAAATACAGAGTCGCACCTCGTAAACGATATAGACGGATCATTAGGTAATCTTTAGTAACATCCACTCAGGTCAATGAGATGTCAAAACTAGCTAGCTTTAGATGTGGAATTTAAATAATTAATAGGTCAGGCGGATAATGTGATCGATGGTAGATCCGCTTAGAACAGAACACTGAGGATGGCACCACGCACCACCATATCTCAGATCTTCAGCTTGTCAGCACTAGCTGATATAACAAGCCTACATAACGGTAGAGTTATATCCAGTAAAACTGAAAATACAGAGTCGCACCTCGTAAATGATATAGACAGACCATTAGGTCATCTTTAGTAACAGATCTGCTAAGGGCAAGAGATGTCAATCCCAATCAGATCTAGATATGAAATTTAATTAATACGTCAGGCGAATAATTTGATCGATGGTAGATCCACTGAGAGCGAAACACTCTCCACTATCTCTCAGAACAAGCCTACACAACGGTAGACGGGCCATTAAGTGATCCAAATCAATGGTAGATCCCCTTAGAGAGAAACACTGAAGGTCGTGCTATCCAATAATCCAATCCTATCCAATAATAATAAATATGAGTAAAATAATGACTTGTCGATATTTCCTAGAAAGTCAAAGTTTTTCATCCGTTTATTCTTTCTTTATAGAAAATTTAATTATTAGGTTCGGCCGTCAATTTTCACTACATAATAAGATTACGAAACTACCTCGTTATAAGTTGGGGCACTCCTAAACATAGCGGACGCTTCTTAGTTTCTTTTTAATCCTCTTTCAACCATCAGCGCCATGAACTACCAGACAAGGGAAAAAACTTAGTCGTCATTCTAAATGTAAAAAGTTCTTCTCGCAGTTTAAAAGTGGGCGTAACGGAGATTTATATTCCTCTATATATACACCGCCGATTTCGAGCCGGAAGTAGTTCGAATAAAACAACTTCTTACTGAAACAAGTTTCATCTGCGCGAAAACTTTATTAATTCGAGTTCATTAAAACACTTGTTAGTCTTTAAGAGTCCCCATCGTCCCATCAAGCATTAACTTTTGTAAACTTTAAATACAATCGTATTTCTTTTGTCGTTTCAGTGTGACCACGGGCTAGAAGGTACAAGAAGAGCCATCTGGGGATGATCTTATGTTTGTTTCTGTCATCGTTTATCGCTTTTCTGTTAGCTAACCAAGAGGCGGTGCAGCAAATCGAACAGCAGACCTCGGTCAGCGTTCCTGGAGATATAGTGCTGGGTGGGTTGTTTCCGGTACACGAAAAAGGCGAACGAACACCATGCGGCGTCAAAATATACCACCGCGGCATCCAAAGGCTGGAAGCGATGATGTTTGCTATAGATCGCATAAACAAAGAGCCAAAGATATTGCCAAATATCACTTTAGGCGTTCATATTATCGACACATGTTCGAGAGACACCTATGCGCTAAATCAATCGCTTCAATTCGTTAGAGCATCGGCGTTGAACAACATAGACACGTCGGCTTTCGAATGTCAAGACCACTCTAACCCCCGACCGAAGAACAATTCGTCTGGGCCAGTGTTCGGTGTTGTCGGTGGTAGTTACAGTTCGGTATCACTTCAAGTAGCTAACTTACTCGGGCTTTTTCGTATCCCACAAATATCTCCCGCTTCCACCGCTAAAGCTCTCAGCGACAAGACTCGTTTTAAATATTTCGCTAGAACGGTACCACCGGATACGTTTCAATCGAGTGCTTTAGTGGATATCGTTAAGAGTATCAACTGGTCTTACGTTTCGACGGTATATTCGGAAGGGTCGTACGGCGAATACGGTATCGAAGTATTTCATCGCGAAGCACAAGAACGGAACGTTTGTATTGCGGCAGCCGAAAAAGTCCCCAGTACCGCGGACGAAAAGGAATTCGATAACATCATAGCCAAGTTGAAAAAGAAAGCAAACGCTAGGGGAGTTGTTTTATTCACGCGGGCAGAAGACGCCAGGTGAGCATAGCTTTTATTTTTGTGTATCAAACTACTCGCGATTATTATACAGATTACAATGGGAGAGATGAAAAGAGCGGTGACTTCCTTTCTTCGGTTTCGATGCGCACTTTTTGAAATTGGTTTTAAATCCTCGTTCCCAAGCGCGCGTTTTGCGTTTATCGCCGCTCTTTTGATCATATCGAACGGTCCGAATATTAACCCGCTCGGAAAATATGTACAGGGTTATCCATTATATTTTGACACCCACCTATAAGGTTAATTTTAAAAGATAGAAAAAAAAAGTGTAAATACAAAAGTTTGCCGATTTTTGCTCTATTATCTTACGCAAATGTCAAAAAAAAATAAACGACGATCGCAAGCTGTCAAAATGACAGCAATATCTTTTTTTTTAAAGAATACTTTTATTTTTTAATTATCATTCGATTTCTAGACAATAGCCATATTGTTTAAAAATGGTCAAGTCTGCCCTAATAGCAACCATATTATCTATGCTTGCAATTGTTTTGATAATGTTCTACTTTTGACAACCAATTAAGACTAAAGATCTGCAGCGTGAGTTAAACAACTTAAGATATTTCAAATTCATTATACTGAGGAAGATAAACGCCAAATAATTGAATTATATTATTCAAACAATAAAAATATCAATAAATAATGCTAAACATTTTACACATAACCTCCATTATTTTCTACACATCGGACAATATTTCCTTTCAATTCCCTATTAATACACGAGGTGATAAAATCAGAGTTTTCTCTGTTTAGGCCTTGTAAACTTTCAGTCCACTATATAAATTTTATTTTTTAAATATGCCCAGAAAAAAATGTCACAAGCATTCAGGTCCGGACTGTTAGTCGGCCATTTGATAGTTCCTTGCTTACCTATCCAAAGTCTATATTTCTTATTATGTGGAGGTGCGCCATCTTGATGCCAAATTAAATTTAAATAATCCCAAAGTGGCACATTTTCGAACAACTGTTCTATTTCTGTTTCAAGGATATTTAAATATCGTTGACCATTCAAGGATCCTTCGTATATAATTGGTCCGACCACCATATTGTTCAACATACCACACCATACATTAACTGACAAAAATGTTTATTCTTCCTGTTAAATACACCTGCTGTTGTCCGTAAATATTATTTTGTTTAGGAAGGTTCCATCTTCTTGACATTCATTTCAGTGCAAAATTCCAGGCTCTGCCTTTTATGTTCGTCGGTTAAACTTTGCACTGGAAGGAACATATAAAGGTGAAACTTATAATATTTAAGCGTTCGTTGAATTTTACTATAGGACTTTTCCGAAAATTTTTTAATGTCAGGTAGAGAATATTCATACATATGTTTTTGATACCAGGAAAAAAAATTCTACGATTTAAGCTAATAATATATAGGGCATTCTATTAAAAAAAAAGATGTTGCTGTCATGTTGACAGCTGGCGATAGTCGTTTGTGTTTTCTGACATTTTCATACGATAATAGAGCAAAAATCTTCTATCTAGTATTTACACTTTTTTTTCTAAGTTTCAAAATTAACCCTGTAGATGGGTATCAAAATATAATGAATAACCCAGTACAGGGTGGTTCGAATTGGACGCTTCGCGGGGAAACAGCTTATTTGCCTAGTTTATTTTGTTTTTTCAGTCAAAACATTCTTAAGGCGTATTTTAACTACGGTGTGTGTTAATTTATTCATGTCATGCTACCTAACAGATGTCCATTATAGATAATCCAGCAGTGACGTAAACAGAGTACAACTAACACACAATAAAAATAAATTCTACGGCAGCTTTACCTGCTAGAACCTAAAAGTAGAGTACCATTTTTATGGAAGAACTGTTTAGAAAATATTAATGTTCCCCAAAATATTAAAAATATAAAAAAAAACGGAATCCCACCCCCTTTAGCCACGCTGCTGTATAAAATATTAACATTCCGTCAATAGTTACTTTTATGACCCAATCAAAGATATTTTGGTGTAATTTTCATTCAGAAATCTTAAACCGTATCAGAAGTAAAGAAAACGATTTTTTTAGACCCCTTTTACAGAGAGAGGCGTTTTGGGACCCATGTTATTAACGAAACTAACTCTATTTTTAATATTTGCACTTAATTAATTAATTACCTTAAAAATTGCCGGCGCGGTTATTACTTGTCCATATTATTTATGCCTTGTCGCCTTTTTTATTGATTCTGAATCAGCACTTACGTTTTCGAATTGAAATGCTGTGCTAAAGTTCTTTTGATGCTTTTTTATAACATCCCAATCAGTAAACTTCATTCACCAGAATCAGATTAATCTAAAATATAAAAAAATAATCCAATGCTAAACGGTAGGTATGTGGTTTGTACACTAATTACTCCATGGTCAAAAATAAAGAATTAAAACTTTTTCCTAAAAAGTCCTGCTGGGTGAGAAAATAAATTTCAAAAAGAATATTGGTATGTTGAACATACTTCCAAAAGTCATTGTTTAAAACTAACAAAAGACATCTTCTATATTTCCTAAACTAACGGAGAGACGAGACGGGCGGAATGTGCTATAACAAGAACGATTAGCAATAACTCACTAAAAGCGCTACTAAAGATAATTAATTACATTTTTTAATTTCACAGTAGCTCTTGATTCCCAACCACACTTCTTGTGTTGTGTTGTCTTATCAAAAAATGGTTCGTCCGAATAACCCATATTATAAACAAATATGGTTTCTAGAAATTATAATTAATTATAATTATAATTTTTTTCCAATGCAATAATACTTTTGAATAATAAACTCGTGATTTCAAAAACGTCCTAGAAACTATATTTTTGAAATCGGATTAAAAAGCACTGTCATCTTAATTCGGGGTGTTTCGTTATGTTCATCATTTGTTTCTGTTTTTGTTTTTGTTTATCCGCTTTAATGAACTCTGTAGGTGGGTGTCAAAATATAAATGAAACACCCTATACATAGTGTAATTTAATTTTCTCTTTATTTTAAGAAGAACACACTCAGAATATATCGACGCCACTAGCGATCGGCTGTATTTACCTCAATGAAACTCTATTCTACGAGAAAATATACACGGTGGTCAGATATTTATATAGGTGATTATGCTGGAGAGCTTCAATTTTTATTATTAATTTATTAAGAATTTGTGTTCAATATGTTATCGATATCAGAAAAATCTCAAAATAGAGGACAATAAAGTACCATTCCTGCCTACCGCTCATGCGAAAGCATTTAAATAATCGGAAAATTATGTTAAAAAATATCAAACTAAATGAAACTATGAGTCACTATGGAGTCAAAGGTTTTAAAGAAGAAAATTTTGCTTCGGTAGCTTTTCCTTGGGAAACATTTTTGTTGTTTATAATATCAGGTTCCTAAAGATGTAAAACTGCGAAAAATAAAATACCGAAAGCGTTACCGGGGGCAATATAAATGCGCTCCTGAAATTAAAAGCTTACTACACAAACGCAATATAACAAAGGACGTAATATAAAAGTATTGTATACTGTTTGTCGCGGCAGACGTTCGGCTCATTAAATCACCCCCCGACGCTAAAAATGTTAAAAAACAAAGAGCGGAGAAAATGAGAAAATAAGCCCAATTCACAAAGCGGATAATTTCATTTAGCCGGAATGTTTACCCGATACCGACCGGAATTCTAATTCTTGTGGTCCTCATACTTCATTTAATAATTATTATTGTTCACGCTCGATTTAAGCACAAAGAATAATTAATTTTACTAATTAAATAAATATCGTACGAACGTTAGAAGTTGTTTATCGATGAAAAACCGCGTCGACCATTTTACGCGTCTGCCAGATTTGTTTTTTTTTTCTCCAAGTACTTAAAGTAACAGACGAGTCTAATCCCCGGTTTAATCAAAAGAAAAACTTTGGAAACGTGTCCTTTCGTAAACTTTGACACGTATTAATCTGAACAGATTTAAACTCGACAGGAGCAAAGAGAAATTTAAATTTTAGAACCGTCGAAACAAAAATGTTCTGGGCCGGAGATTATGTTATTTGCGTTTGTATAAAAATACGTTGAAACGTTGAAATATCCACCAAATTTTAATCAACAACATCAAATGCAGAACGTGACAATAAGTTTGACACAATTCAATGGCCAGAATCCACCCAATCCGATTGCTCCGAAGGTCCCAGCCTAAATAATCATTTAAGTGAATTATTACGAAATATTTATTTTTTACAAAGTCGGAATTTGTTTTAGTTAATTAGAAATTAGGGCGAGTTGACTTTGCTTCGTTCGAAATAAAATAATTTTTGTTGTACTGCAATTTACTGTTAGTTGGATTTTTATGCCGTTCGAAAATTTTGTTTAAGATAAATAATAATAAATAATAAATAGTTTAAGGCTTGCAAATGGTGGTAACGCAAAAAAAATGAAAGAACTTTATTAAGTGTTCATGTAAGTTTTAAAAAACAACCAATGGTAAGTCATCAGATAATATTAAAAGCGGATTGATCTTGTTAGAGAATGTGTTGAAGAACCCATGGTGCTGACAATATGTGTATCTAATGTAATGCTTTTTAATTGTTCAGTGAAGTGAAAGCAATTAAGTAAAGGCTTTTAATAAGGAAGCTACATATTTTGCTAGAGAAATATAGCTTCCTTATTAAAACCCTTTACAGGGAAAACTGATAGTTTCGTATTTAATTCGTTTCTTAATTCTTAGATATTCTAATCAATAGAAAATTAGCCCTAATATTGGATCAATGGATCAGAAAGCCTACGCACACAGTCGGATACCTTAATGCATGGTCACATCACCATCCCGCCCAAAAATCATCGGTTATCAACTCTCTTGTTTAGAGAGTCGTAAAAATATCTCAGCCCGAATCACTGAACCCAGAACACCTTACCTCTGCTTTTCTCTCTAATAATTTCCACATTAAAGACCTTAAGCGTTCCATTAGAAAATACACTTCGCCACAACCATCCAATAGCAATGAGACCGAAAGCAATCCTGCTGGCACTGTTGTC